TGTATAAGACACACCTTTTTTTCTCAAAAAAGAGACTGAAAATCTGGGTGTGTCTTATACATTAAATACAGCATTTTTGGCCTCCTGAAGCCCCGCCCCTTCACCAAAATGGCCGTGCCTAGCCTTATGGAGGCTTTCAGAGAGCTCCTGGGGTCTGGGGAGGGCAGAAATGAGGAAAAAAGGGCCATTTTTTGCTTCCCCAGCCTCAATAAGGCTATGCATGCAAATTTTTTTTGACAAAAAAAAATTGGCTGTTTTGGGGAGGTTTGCAGAGTGCGAAAACTTTTTTCCCCCCTTTTGGAAAGCTCTTTAACTGATTGGTCAAATGCTCTATCCCTCTACCTACCAACCTACCTACTCTCCCTCCCTCCCTCCCTCCCTATCTACTGTATTTCTCTCCCTCTTCCTCTATTTCTCTCTATCCCTCTATCCCTCTACCTACCAAACTACCTTCTCTCTCTCTCACCCTACCTACCAACTGTATTTCTTTCTCTCTCTCTCTCTCTCTCTCCATCTATCTACCTACTTACCTACCTAGCTCTCCCTCCCTCCCTCCTTCCCTACTATATTTCTCTTTCTTTCTCTTCCTCTCTATCCCTCTATCTACCTACCTATTTTTTTAATTTGCCTCTTCAAAACCTTGGTGCGTCTTATAGTCCGAAAAATACGGTACATCACTCTCAAACTTGAAGTTTTTCTCTTTGGGGAAATTTCTTTTTGGATCTAGGACAGCTCGCCATGACCAAATCACCGCATCCAAATATTTTCAGTGGAAATAATGTTGAAGAAACAGTGGTGGATAACATTTATCTCCCTGAGGTATCCCACGTGGTATTGCCCCACGTCAAGTTGTCCTGCAGTGAGGTATCCTCATCGGGTTGGCCGCAATGAAATGGCCAGGGTGTGTTGGCTGGAGCGAGATGGCCACGAGGAGTTGGCCACGAGGAGTTATCCCATTCCATCTCTTTTCAGTGATTTGACTTCTGCCGAACCTAGCACTGGTAGTCCTCAATTTACAACAGTTCATTTAGTGACCATTTGAAGTTACAACAGCAATGAAAAAAGTGACCGGTGACCGTTCTTACACTTATGACCGCTGCAGCATCCCCATGTTTGTGTGATCAAAATTCAGACATTTGAGAACGGGCTCATATTTATGATGGTTGCAGTGTCCCGGGTTATGCGATTCCCCTTTTGCGACCTTCTGACAAGCAAAATCTGTGGGGAAGCCAGATCCACTTAAAAACCGTTGTTCCTAATTGAACAACTGAATTGATTTACAATTGGTACACCCACGTTACACCTATCCTCCGCGAGTTGCACTGGCTGCCCATTGCTCTCCGGACACGCTTCAAGGTGCTAGTCGTTACTTTTAAAGCCCTACATGGCATCGGACCTGGCTACCTGAGAGATTGCCTCCTGCCAATTACCTCCCAAAGACCCATTAGATCGCACAGACTAGGCCTTCTCCAGATTCCATCTGCCAGCCAATGTCGGCTGGGGACCCCCCGGGGGAGGGCCTTCTCTGTTGCACCCCCGGCCCTCTGGAACAATCTCCCCGTTGAGATCCGGACCCTTACTACCATTCCGACCTTCCCTAAAGCTATTAAGACCTTGCTGTTCCAGCACGCCTGGGGCT